ATGTATCTATATATATATAGTGTGTATATATATAGTATATATATATATATATATATATATATATATATATATATATATATATATATATATATATATATGTGTGTGTGTGTGTGTGTGTGTGTGTATATATATATAAATGCTGGCCTGCAGCGTACCTTTTGCTGTGTCTATCAAACGACCATCCACTGGCGTACCTCGAGCGGCAATTGGCAAATAAACGCGTGGGCGTGTCCTTGTATACGTTTATGTATTTATTTCTACATACCATCAGAGTATATATATATATATATATATATTCCAACCATTAGTTCTCCGTATATATGAGAGTATAGGCAACAATGTGTGGTGCTGGCTTCTTGTCGATGCTGTAAACGTGGACGTAAATTCACCCATTCGCCTATAGATACACCCCTAAGCATGTATACGTGCACTGCACACATACTTGAGTAGCCAAAATTCGTAGGCGTATCTATTAGCTATATCGGATGGCGTCACTGCAATTTGTATCTCCATTGGGAATGTTCAATCCTAGATCCAAAATCAAAATCAAAGCCAAAACTAAATACAAATCCCAAGCCAAATTCAAAGTCAAATTCAATTCAGGACATTAATTTCAAGAATGGGACTCTGCCACACAAAGGCAGGTCGATACCCACTGATCAGATGCATGAGTGTGCACTTGTACTGACTGCGTCAAGCACTCACTGTTCACTTTTCTTACCCTCTCACATCACAGTCTCACATATTTGATAGTTGGATTCTAGCGAGCATAAGCATATGAGCAGATGCTACGCTTGAATATAAACTTGCTCCATCCGGCTGAAAGTTAGCAATACTTGTCTCCTGTTTATTTCAGCGTGTCCGGATGATCTATTCAAAAGCATTGCAAAGAGTAATGCGGCAAAATACATCAAGACATTCAGTGAACTCAACATTGACTTCCTGGCGAATGAGAAACAAGTAAGTGATCGACATTTATATATGACGCGCGCACACGCACACGCAACACGCATACACATACACATGCACAGACGCACACGCACGCATACACTATATATATATATATATATTATATTATATATATGTATATGTATATATACATATATATATATTTATATATGGCTTTGTATGAACTGCTATACATAGATATACAAATATTTGTGTTTACATATGTAGGTATACATGACTGTTTTTTGTACGTTTCTTTCTCAACGCTGTGCATATTACTACCGTACAGCACAGTTGTAGCTCACTTAGCGCTATCACTTTATTACGTTTTCGCCCTCAACACATCGCTTTGAAACTACGCTTCACACATCCCTGGGCAAACCCCTAAAACATGCCTGGGCATAATGTATATTGATGACTCTCACCTGTTACTTAACTCTCGGCTTGGTTATATAATTCGAGAAGTATCGATCACACTCGCATGTTAGTAGGTATCCGTATGGCAAATTCTTACGTCCACAAGCAGCACATCTTGTTGTCACATTTCTTTATTTTCCTTGAACACACCCTACACACCAATATACACGGTGTAGCGGATACTCACAGCTATAAATAACACTGGTTCAAAAAGCGTACGATGGGTCTTTAGAACACAACCGCCTCAGCAATATGTGATATATAGTATATGCCACAGCAAAATGTAATATATAATACATGCTTCCAGCTATATGTAATATATAATACATGCCCCAGCAATGTGTAATATATATTCCATGCCACAGCAATATGTTCTATATAATACATGCCACAGCAATATGTAATATATAATACATGCCACAGCAATATGTGATATATAATACATGCCACAGCAATATGAATTATATAATACATGCTACAGCAATATGTGCTATATAATACATGCCACAGCAATATGTAATATAAATTACATGCCACAGCAATATGTAATATATAATACATGCCACAGCAATATGTAATATACAATACATGCCACAGCAATATGTAATATACAATACATGCCACAGCAGTATGTGATATATATTACATGCCACAGCAATATTTAATATACAATACATGCCACAG